AAAAAAAAAAAAAAAAAAAAAAACAACCAAAAAAATAGGCTCCCCCAGCTGTGCAACATGCAGCCTTGATCCCCTAGGAACCCCATTCCACTTACCCGATAGAGGAGCTCCCAGCAGCCCCCCGATGCTCTCTATCATCTGCAACAGCCCCAGGCCACAGTAAATCCTTCTAGTCCCTACTAGTTCAGGCAGCACGGAGAAGGCCAGTGGGGCCAGCGCCCCTGATGTGAAGCCGTAGGCCACAGCCAGAGCCACCAGGGCTGTGGGAGCCCGAGCTATAGGGAACAGGGCTAGTAACACCCCAGTCAGGGTGGTCCAGAGCATCAGGAGTCGTGTCACGGGCCCTGGGACTGCGTCTCCTAGCCATCCAGAGGCCACACGCCCCACGAGGTCAGAAATAGCAGCAACTGAGAGTAGGAAGGCAGCAGGCAGTGGGTCCCAATCCAGGTCCTGGAGATGGGCCACCAAGTGGAGGTAGGGAATGAAGTAGCCAGTGTTGATCAGGGTGAGGGCAACAGTATAACGGAGGAAGGGGCCATGATGGAGGAGGGAGGTGAGTTGGGCCCTGGGACCACCCACAGCAAGGTCCTCAGCCAGGGAGGGTGGCCGGAGGAGAGCACCACAGGCCACCAGGTGGAGGGAGATGGCAGACACCAGCAGTAGGGACCCCCGCCAGGCATAGCGGCTGAGCAGCCACTGGAAAAGGGGGGCAAATGCGAAGGAGGAGAGGCCCACGCCTGTCAGTGCCAGCCCGGTGGCCAGGGATCGACGGCGAGAGAAGTAAGAGGACAGGCAGGCCAGGGTTGGAGCGAAGGTCAAGGCCCAGCCAGATCCTGTCAAAAAGGAAGAAGTGGGGTTAGGGACTTTTTTTTTTTTTTAATTTTTTGTGAGATGGAGTCTCACTCTGCTGCCCAGGCTGGAGTGCAGTGGCACGATCTTGGCTCACTGCAACCTCTGCCTCCTGGGTTCAAGGAGTTCTCCTGTCTCAGCCTTCCAAGCAGATGGGATTACAGGCACATGCCACCACACCCAGCTAATTTTTTGTATTTTTTTAGTGGAGACGGGGTTTCACCATATCGGCCAGGCTGCTCTCAAACTCGTGATCTCATGATCCACTCGCCTCGGCCTCCCAAAGTGCTCACCGGCATGAGCCACTGTTCCGGTCGGGGTTAGGGACTCTTAGGGAGCTCAGGTCACGCAGTAATCCCCACATTGCCCAGCAGCAGAATGTAGTACTTAACTTGGCATCCCACAGACCTGAGATACAGTCTTGCTTTGGACACTTTCTAGCTGTGTAACCTTGTATTTTACTTAACACCCCCAGCCTCAACCTTCACAACTGCAAAATGTAATAATACGCTTTTTGGGATTGTGAGGATTAGAGACAGAGTCTGTAAGGTAACTGGCACCAAACTTTGGAGTTAGACCTGGGCTCTACCATTTCTGGCGGTGTAACCTTCATTTGCCAAGTTGTATAAGCTTTAAAGCGTTTCCTCAGCTGTAAATAGAATAACGATGTCGATTTCACAGTCACAGTACCTAGCGCCATTTTATAGTAATTCTTCCGTTTACACTCCAGTCCAATTAGCCCTGGGCTTGTAAATTGGTTTCATTTTTTTTCTTTTTCTTTTTTTGAGATGGAGTCTCGCTCTGCTGCCCAGACTGGAGTGCAGTGGTGCAATCCCAGCTCACTGCAACCTCCACCTCCCGGGTTCAAGGGATTCTTCTAAGTTTCCCCAGTAGCTGAGATTACAGGCATGTGCCACCACGCTCAGATTTTTGTATTTTTAGTAGAGACAGGGTTTCACCATGTTGGCCAAGCTGGTCTGGAACTCCTGACCTTAAGGGACCCGCCTGCCTCAGCCTCCCAAAGTGCTGGGATTACAGGCGTGAGCCACCACGCTTGGCCGGTTTTCGTCATCTTTGAATTTCCTAATTCCTCACCATGTTTGTCGGTTTAGCAACCGGCCAGATTTCATCATCTTTGAATTTCCTAGTTCCTCACCACGTTTGTAGGTTTAGTCATTCCTTTTAAGATTTGCCTTCTGGGCACAGGTGCTAGCTAAACTTTCCCTCAGCTTCTCCCTGAACCTTTTGGAAGAAGCAGGAAGGAGGTGACCAACCAACCATCTAAGCATTTGACTTTTCTGCCCTTGTGCAGGCTCTCACCTGACAGCAACCCAATACTCAGGTATAGGTGGGTCAAGGAGGTAGCAAAAGAGGCGAGCAGCATCCCCAGCGCAGCCAAGACGCCTCCAGTCATCACCACCGGTCTGGGCCCAAACTTCGTGCTCAGGGCACTGCCTACCGGGCCTGAGGAAGTGGAAGGGGCGCTGCAAGAAGATCTCGGGCGTCTCCCCGCTTGCATCTCCCACCCCTCGCCTTCCCCTTTCCGGTCACCGCACTCCCTCTCCCTTCCGAGGGTCGAAGTCCGCCAGATCCAGGCACAGCACTCACTCCCAAATTGCTGCACCGCGATTCCTATGGAGGCGATCCAGGAGACGCGCGATGCTTG